GTCTTGGATTCTGAGTTAGTTTAAAGCAAAAACCTTTGTTTTGTTCACGAAAGCAACATTTAGCAGTCGGGTTCGGTTGAGGTAAAGTTGAGAACTACGAGTACATTTGTCCAATGTATTGTAATAAAATAATTCAGGACTCAGAACAAATCGTCAAATATTCAATTAGAGCCAATTTGGTATTTGTGGAAAGACAGACTATTAAAATCAATGTAATTTAATGAAAATTGGACAATGAATTCAACCTAATTTAAATACGAAAATGAAGGGGGCGGTAAAAAATTGCAATTTTCCTGAAGACAATATAACTATAATTTTTTAAAATAATAATAAAAGACATTTCTCCTATAATCTCCCGCTGCACAGACACAAAGTGGAGGGAAGAACAAATTCGAAGGCCCTAATTCCCGAGTGAAGCCACGATGCCCAGAAGGCGCCTTCGACTGAGCTGTTCTTCCGATGAAGACCGCGAAAACGAAGACTTCGAACATTATCCTCAGTGCCCGGATTCCTCCACCACCTCTCTTCAGCCTCCCATTATCGACAATCTCAACTCTCATTTTAATCCCAACGTTTCTGAGCCCGTCCAACTTTCCGACGACGACGACGAACAAGATTTTATCGATGTCTCCGAACATCTCTCGCCTCCCTCTCCGGACTCCGATCATTCTCTCCGTCACTCGCCTGAGCCGAATCCTTATGTCGCTTCCTGCGAGCCGTCGTGTCCTGTGAGTGAGTTCCTTCGGGGACTTGGTTTAAGCTTGAAGAGAGCGTGGCTGGATGCCTGTATCCGTGCCCATCATGGGTCTATACCAGGTTTTTTGAGCCTCAACCCAGCAGGGAAAGGAAAGCTGTGTTTCGAGCAGTTTTTGGTTTCTGATATGAATTACGCGGGTGCTGGTGTCCTGCCCGAAAATGTTGATTCTATGCATCTCATTGATCTCCCTGGTCCATACGTACTGCAGGTTATTTTTGCTGGTTCTTTGAGTTCATTCCCTTATATTAAATTTTTTTCCCTTTTATCTGTTGTATCTAAGCTCATTGGCAGCTAAGCAAAATTTCAGAGATTATAAGAATGACCTACTGCTTGAGGTAGGCGCAATTGTAGAGTCCTGGCTGAGTTGTTTTCCTTGTCAGGTCGATGAGATAGTTAACATCAGTTGTCCTCTAAAGGGTAGATATCAGACTGCCCCTGCGAGTATTAAGAGGTGCCTTAAGCTGTCTATGACGGATGGTGTTCAGCGAGTTTTTGGCATGGAATACAGGCCTATTAAGGGTCTTGAAGTTTTAGCACCTGCTGGGTTGAAGGTTTTTGAACTTTCTCAATCCTCGATCAATTGCTCTTTTCTTTCCTCAACTAGGTTTAGGTGCTTCTAGAATACTTGATTAGTTGATGTAGGGATCAATTATTTATAGCTTTTATACAGGTAGTGATCTGCAATGTAAGTGTACGGCGTGGGGTTCTAATGCTAGTTCCTGAAGCTTTTGAGGTTCTAGGAGGTCTGGTTGAAGAACTGGAGTCAGCTCGGCAGCGGCTGGTTGATGAAGTGAACAAGCCACCTAGAGGAAGGAGGTAACGTTGAGGCCAAGAGTACAAAGTTTTCATGGATGATTTCCTTTTCCACCGTCTAAAACTCGTTCTTTTATCTTTTGACATTGATTGCTTACAGACTTCAAATACGCACCATGTACTTGTAGGGTGGAATTTGTTTCTCTTGGTCTTTCTCTTGAGCATAGCTTATTATGGCAGAATAATTCCATGCACTGTATTCTGTTATCGAATAATTTGTGATTTTTATACTTGTTCAGAACGAGGACAGGCGTGGTTCCTCCCTTGGCAAGAAGAGCCACACATGCCGCATGGCCATCTGACACTGTTCAAGAGCCCGTGCACTCTAGCAGAATAGTGGATACTGCACCTTCTTGTTCAGACCAAGGTACTAATCGGTTAAATATTCTCCTTCCTTTCTTTCCGGGACAAAAGAAAGATTTTTTTACATTGTCAACTGGACGTTGAATAAGATGGCAAACCTGGTATGATGTTCTATATGTCGGATTCCTGGACTTCAGTGACCTAAGCCACTACTACTTTATATCTTGAACTGGACAATGTTGTCTAGTTTCAATCTCTTAATATGTTCCATTTCCGTTCTCGTCTGTTTCAACTATTGACGCAGACCATAGTGGGGCAAAACAGGGATGGCACAAGAAAAGGAAGAGATGGAAGAGGAAGAAAAATGGATGTCCATTCTTAATTCATCAATACCCAATTCATTCTGAAATAAAAAGCATTATAGAATTCAAAGTAGGAAGAACAAAAATCCTACTAGAATCCAACGCAGATCTCAGGGAAAATTTCACTAGGCATTTGAAAATTTCACTAGGCCAAGTTTATCTGGGATGCAAGTTTTGTTTTATTTATTTTTTTGGTCTGGAATTTCATGCAATCTGTGTAAACTGGAAAGATCTCTGTTGTTTTGGACCGTGCATTCTTCCAAAGTTTTCATTCTTCGTATTTCCAGAAATCAATATGACACTGGTGCTCATTTGACTATCAGGTGTTCACATGTTCCATAGGGGAAATGAAGCAGTCACTTCTCCAGTTTGTGATGCATTTACTACCCCAGTCAGCAGAACCAATGCGCATTCTGAGCTATCTACTAATTTTGTTTCAAATGTTGAGGAGGTTCATTTACATTCCGTTCCCAGTAGTAGAGCTAGAACTGTGTCTACTATTGTGTCCAATTCGATAGAGAATACCAATACGGTCAATTCGATAGAAGGCACCAATATGGTCAATTCGGTAGAGGATACCAATATGGTTGATATTGAGCATCCACTCATTTTATCTGGTGATAGAGAAATGCCTTTCACTTACTTGGCTAGTTTGTCGGCTAAGTGGGCATCAGGGAAGGAAAAATCTCCATCAGTTCGTGGAAAAATCAAGGTAGGAAGAAAAGTTCATATTTCATGACTAGATGACTAAACACTTACTTCTTGTTCCAAAAGAAAGCAGCACATTTTTCTTGTGTGTAAGCTGTAAGTTCATTGTTGAAGCTTAAAATTTAGTTCATCAATCCGCTGGTCAGATTAATTGTTAGATTACTAACTTATAATTAATACAGTCAATATATGTGCAACTTATAGACAGTATTAGATGAACGTTCAATCTCATTCCTGTTTATCTCGAGTAGCACTGCTGAGGGTCAAGGAAATCCCGTACGTGGATAATGTGACATGCTTGTAACTGGAAGCATCGAGTTGCATATCTGGCTGATCTAATGTATAGAATTTGAGATCGAGTATTCTAAGCATGATTTATTGGAAAGAATCTTTTTTGTTCCTTTTGACTAAGTGCTTGCAGCCTGCTCATATTGAATTATGTCGAGCATAATGAATGAAAGTGAAATATGTAAATGGAATTTAATTCTCTTTATGTTACTTGCAGTGCTTTTTGACTGGTGTAAAAGGATTTCAATTCAGGCAAAGGACAACATACGATCTACATGCTTATGTTGATGACGGTAGCCTCATTTCTGAGGTCCTCATTGATCACGAGGTGAGTCAAATACCATAGAGATCATTCTTACCCTAGTTAAGGAGAACCGTATCTGACCATTTATTATGTTGACTATTAGGCTGTACAGCAAGCGATTGGCCATTCTCCCAAGGATGTTACAGATGCTCTTGGTTCTTCTGATGTCCAAGTAGTGAGTGGCATGAAGGAGGCTTTGAGACAGTTTCAAATTTTCTTGGTAAATTTTGAGGTAAATTGATGGCATTAAGTATTTCCTCCCCTCCCGCTAACTTGAAAAAATTATGCCTTTTCTGTATTTGTGAGTATATTTTTAGTTAATTTAAGAATCGTTCTTTTATATCTTGTTTCATCAAAGGGTACAATGCTGGTTGAGATGAATAGAACGTCTTCTCTGCCAGTTGTCCTTGAGATGGAGGAGGGTTGTCTGGAATCTGATGCTTGGCTGCTTTTGAGAAGACTCGAATGTTCGAATGCTGTTCAAACCAATGAGCATGCCCGTCTAGACCCTATAGATGTGTCCCCTTAATTGAAGGCGAGAAGAAAGGGGTCTTGAGGCCAACGGCGTGTTTAAACTCATTTATATCACAGCCTATATCTTGGACTGGGGATTAAGGCAGTAAAGCTTCCTTCGAGCTGACAGAATCTTGTTGACAGTGACAAATGAAAAGAGCTTGATGGGCCGCAGATTCACATGAAATCCTACGCGATGCGGTCCGGTTGGATATAATTGCAAGCGGAATCAATGGTCTTATATAGGTCGTCATCAACACAGCATCCAGAGGTGGAACGAAGTCATTATTTTTCCTCGAAGCTTTACTCGGCCCAGTGGGTCAGAGGAGAGCCTAAACTGATCAAGATTGGTACTCTTGTTGTGGTGGTGTTCATTTTGATCTAACCTATCAGGTTACCCATGGCAAGGAGAGAAGTGGTAGGCAATCAACCCGTGTCGACAGGACAAGTGAGCCGTGGCAGAGCTTGTAGAGAATGCTTCAAACGCTACGACAACCAGCACGGTGACATTCGATATTTATCAATTCCTTCAAATGCTCGTCTATTCTGTGTACATGCTCAATAGAAATTGAAGTTAAGAAACAGAGACGATCCTGTGATTGGCACAACATATGCTTCTAGTAAGTTCTGTTAGTCAGTCGATTCTAAATAAGAACATTCATAAGTTCTGTTAGTCAGTCGATTCTAAATAAAAACATTCATTTGGCTTATGATTATTAGATGTCGGATAAACGACACAAATCATTGTGGGATATATGCTTTTACACTCTTAGTTTTACTCTCAAATATCAGTTGATCCGTCACATTCAGGTATCATCTTTTTCCTGTTAAAATTGTAAGGAAGATTTTTGCGGACGGTGAGTTGACCGGTTGTTGGTTCATTTGAGAGTGTGAATATAGTTTAAAAGAGTTGTTGTATAGCCGTGTGAACAGAAGCTTTATAAAACCAGGGGGAAAAAAGAGTTGCTTCATTTACAAATATGCCCAATACAAGTTCTTTTTTTACATAACCATACGAAAACAAAAGACAGAAGAAGTCAAATCCACAAGGATGGTCCACCACGAAGCAACCAACTCTTCTTTACAATAGCCTTCTTCATCAAGATTCCTGCCCCCATCCTTCCCAATCCAGTTCACATAAGGACACAAGAACAGACATCTTACTAGTGCACTTGAACTTCTTTACAAAAAGATGAGTGAAATTAGCTCACAATGGCGAGTGTAATCATAATTATTAAAAAACAAGGGGGGGACTCACTATAGTTATGTGAATTAGTGATTCTTGGCCTTCGCATCAGCAGAATTGCTTCCCCTACCACCATATTTCTTTATTTGCTGCCTCACGAATCTATCATACAAGAAAGCTGCACCTTTGAACTGTGGCAGAACCAGCCACGCCACAAATACTAATTTCACCGAATACCAAACTGGTATCCTGAAAATTTCAAAAACTCCCTCAGTTTTTTAACGTATATATTTAAGTAACGACCAAAAACCCCATCCGATCTCTCAACCTCAGTAAATCTTGTAACTGAAAAGAAAAGAAAAGGGGGGGGGGGGGGGAAAACT